CAGAGCATCGACCCTATGACTGTGCCATTGAATTGCAAGAAGGAGCACAACCACCTTTTGGACCAATCTACAATTTGTCGCAGATGGAGTTGACTGAGTTGCGGAAGTACATTGACGAGAATCTAGCCAAGAACTTCATCCGTCATTCGAAGTCGCCAACTGGGGCACCAATCTTATTTGTGAAGAAGAAGGATGGCTCACTACGGATGTGCGTGGACTATCGAGGTCTCAACAAAGGTGACAAAAAAGAATCGCTACCCACTGCCTTTAATCTCTGGTCTTCTAGAACAACTTGGGCATGCAAGGATCTTTACAAAGATTGACCTAAGGGGAGCTTACAACCTTGTGCGAATTAAGGAAGGAGATGAATGGAAGACAGCGTTTCGAACAAGGTATGGCCATTTTTAATACAATGTCATGCCATTTGGTCTTACTAATGCTCCAGCGGTCTTTCAACACATGATGAATGACATCTTTCGAGAGCATCTAGACGATTTTGTTGTCATTTATCTAGATGATATTTTGATATTTTCTAAGAACGAGGAAGAACATGAGAAGCACGTTCGTCTAATACTCAAAAAACTACGAGAGCGAGGACTCTATGCCAAATTGGAGAAGTGCTTATTTCACCAAACTGAGATGGAGTTTTTGGGATTCATCGCGACTACGGAAGGCTTGAAGATGGATCCAAAGAAGGTGGAAGCAATCATGTCTTGGGAAGTTCCGAAGACGGTTAGGGACGTACAATGTTTTCTTGGATTTGCTAACTACTATCGGATCTTCATCAAGAATTATTCTCAAGTTGCTTCCCCCCTCACTCGGTTAACGTGTAAGGACAAGCTCGAATGGGGACCTATCGCAGAAAAAGCATTTCAAGATTTGAAGATGGTATTTACTACAGCTCCAATCTTAGTACATCCGGACTTTACAAAGGCCTTTTATTTGGAGACAGATGCTTCGGATTTTGCTTTGGGAGCTGCACTTTCACAGATGGGTGTAGATGAGAAGCTCCATCCAGTTGCGTTCTATTTTCGAAAATTCTCTGCTGCTGAGATCAACTATGAGATCCACGATAAGGAACTCCTTGCTATAGTAGATTCTTTCCAAGAGTGGCGCCACTTTCTCGAAGGAACTGCACATCCAGTGACCGTATATATGGATCACAAGAATTTGGAGTATTTTATGTCGGCTCGAGTTTTGAATCGGCGTCAAGCTTGGTGGAATATGTCGCTATCCAAGTTCGACTTTGTTATTACTTATCGGCCTGGGAAGCAACAAGGGTTGTCCGATGCATTATCAAGGAGATCTTATCTTGCGCCAAAGGCTGGAGATGCAGCATTTGATCAACAGTGCACAACATTGTTGAAGCCAGAGAAATTTCGGCTCAACGCAGCTATTGTACCAATTGATGCTGACTTCCTCGACCAGGTACGGGCCGCAACCATTGAAGATTCTCTAGCCCTTGATATCAAGCAACATGCTAGTGATGATAAATTCAAGATGGAAGGAGATTTAGTATATTTCGAAGAGCGGTTGTATATCCCAAAAGGGCCAACACGACTCCGAGTTCTTCAATCTCGTCATGACTTTCCAGCTGCGGGACATTTTGGATTCAATAAGACCTTGGAACTTATTTCCCGCGATTTTTGGTGGCCTCAAATGTGGAAGGATGTGAAAGATTTTGTTGTATCTTGTGACATTTGTTCAAGATCCAAAAACCCTCGACATCGACCTTATGGACTTCTACAGCCATTGCCTATTCCGCGCCGACCATGGTCTTTGGTTTCCATGGACTTTATTACGGATCTACCACCATCGAATTCATTTGACAGTATTTTTGTTGTCGTAGACCGGCTTACAAAGATGGCGCATTTTGTCCCTTGCAAGAAGACATCGTCAAGCGAAGACACAGCAAGACTCTTTCTTGATAATGTGTATCGATATCATGGTCTACCAGATGATATCGTATCGGATCGAGGAACCCAGTTTGTGTCAAAGTTTTGGAAATCTCTTTTTGAAATATTGAAGGTGGATATCAAGCTTTTTTCGGCATTTCATCCTCAAACGGACGACCAAACAGAACGGGTGAATCAAGTTTTAGAGCAATATTTACGTTGCACCATCAACTATCAATAAGATGATTGGGTCGCATATCTACCGCTAGCCAAGTTCGCATATAACAACACCCTTCATGCGTCAACTCAATAAACGCCATTCTTTTCCAATTATGGATACCATCCAAAGCTTGACTTATGGAGTTCGTCAACGATTAACAATCCGACAGCTAAAGGATTGGTGAAGGAGCTTTCACAGCTTCAAACTACATTGAAGCTTCAATTGCAAACTGCCCTAGAATCTTACAAGGCGTCCGCGGATAAATTTCGGAATCAGGCACCTAAATTCACGATTCGAGACAAAGTTTGGTTGCTTTGACGAAATATTAAGACCAAGCGGCCATGTGACAAATTGGACTATCGGAGATTGGGACCATTTGTTATCCAGAAGCAGATCAATCCTGTAGCGTATCGTCTGGAGTTACCAGCTATTATGAAGGTACATCCTGTCTTTCATGTTTCTTTGTTGGAGCCTTATCGAGAATCGTCTTTTCCTGGAAGAGTACAATGTCCACCACCTAGCATAGAAATAGAGAACCACGAAGAATACGAGGTGGAAAAGGTCCTGGATTCACGACAAAGACGGGGTAAATTAGAATACTTTGTGCATTGGAGCGGTTACGATATTAATGAACGAACATGGGAGCCGGACGAAAATCTCGCGAATGCGCCGCAAAAGGTACAGGAGTTTCATCGACGATATCTTGAGAAACCCAAGCCGGTTCAACGATAGCTTCTTACTGAAGCTTGTTCATCCAGAAAACAGAAAAGAGGAGAGAGCACCACCAAAATCCATAGTTGATGTAGTCATTCTCTCCAAGATAGCGTAGAACTTTGTTAGTAGCCCAAGTTTGTTCTTATTGTTTTAGTCTTTGAATATGGATAGCCAAGATACTACACTTGTCATGTCATCTCAAGCAACTAACTCACGAAGACGACCGCGAGATGAAGAACCGCTTGCACCACGACGACGTCGAAGGATTCCGAGCAACAGATCGCTGGTGATTGTATTTGAGGTCGAGCCTGCCTACAATGGTCAGCCAGAAAGAGTGTTTGCAGGACAATTTCACAATGAAGACACGGAGGTTCATGCTTGGTCAGAAGTTGAAGGCGTGGGCCACTACCGTTGGCTTGAAAGACCATTGAATCACTTACCTCGTGAACAACAATTGGAGTTCATAGCAGAGGTTATGCGACAGATCTTCATTTTCTTGCGTTGGTATTGACTGACGATAACATTGCTTCTCGGAGACCTCGAAGCTAAAGGAGGAGGTGATGTTAGGGACATAGTCCTTAGACCTTTTTAGAGACAAGTTTCTAGAACCTTCTAGAAAGAAGTCTCTAGAAACTTCCAGAAGATTCCTTGAATATTCTCTTAGAATATTCTTCAAAGATTCCCTAAAGATTCTTTTAAGATTTTCTAAAGATTTCCTTAAAAGGCTCTAGAAGATTCTTAGAATATTCTAGTAGATTCTAAGAAGTTACTTGAGAAGCTTCCTAGCTCTTGGGTAGTTGCTCGAGAAGCTTCATAGTTCTTGGGAAGCTTCTTGATGCGCTTCCTTAGAATCATAGGCCAGTAGTATATATAGGAGTCGAGGCTGAAGAATTCTTCAGTCTCGACAACACATCTCTTGAAGCTCTAGCTCAATTCTCTTGGCGTTGTTCTTGTACTCATCTGATAATCTAGTTCTTGTCATTTCTTCTTGAACTTCATGTTTAGATTTCTTGTTTGTATTTTTGGTTCGTGACACTACAATTCTAATAGTTGAATTTTTTTTCTATTTTTTAAAATTTAAATTATTTATCATCAAAATTTCAATTAGGAATAAATTGTAGTTTATACATTGATTTATTTTGTAAACAAAAATAAATGTATATAGCAACAAAACAATCATCTTTTTCACAAATTTACATTTAGAATTTGCCACTTCAAAATAAACATTAAAACAAGAATTAAAGCTTTCACAATTACATATATATATATATATATATATATATATATATATTAATTTTCTTTGCAAAGTAATAGATTTTATTAAATAGAACTTTATTAACTATATATATATATATATATATATATATATATATATATGTATATATTTATTTATTCATTCAATTATTTTAAAGAATTTGACCATATGAAGCATGGAATTTACTTATTCAAGTACAAGAAAAGAAAAAAAAGAAAAAAAAAGTGGAAAAAAAATATAATGACACTTAAAAACATGAAATCTATCAAAACATTTGCAAAAAGAGCATGTTGTCATCCAATGAAACATTCATTTAAGATGTGACAACAATATCCAAGTAAGCACATTAACAAGCTCAGTTACATAGAAACTCATTTTAATAAAATGCACATTGCTTAGATGTCTACTAAACATCCTTAATTAATATTTTATCTTCTATGCCGTCCCACATTGTTTTGGACTACATCATCACAAAACAAGACGTAACTATTTTTAAAATTCTCATTTCTAGCAACCCAACAACATAAACATCCCAAAACGTGAGATATTAACCAAACCCTCAAACAATGATGCACTTTAAAGTTCAACCCCCAGGAAAAAGTGAAAAGTATGCAACCAAAGGGGGGAAGCCATCATGCTGCATAGGTGGCAGGAATACGTGGCAGCCAGCATGGAGTGAAGCCATAAGGTGCCACGTGGAGGCATGGGTCCGGAGCTGACCTAGGGGTTCGGATAACCTACGCCTGGGCCTGCGGCGTTGATGTGCTTTGTGTGAATGCGTTTCTCTGGGGCTCCGCAACCCCACCCCCATCAGCAGTCAGCAGACAATTGGACACCCAAATTGCTCCAACCCTGGCCGCGATTTTTTTTATTTTTTATTTTTACCGGGTGATGTTTTATGTGGGATTTTTCCGCAGGTTACAATGACCCCAACAAATCCCGAATCCGCAGCTTCTCGCTGAGTCGACGGTCCCGCCGTTGCTGTCTGCGTCGCTCGCGTAGGAAGCCGCTGGAATCCCTTTGCATTGCTGCTTGTTTCTGCTGGCATTGAGCCACCATGGCGATCCTCCACCACGCTGTTACCACTTCCTCTGCTGTAGTTGCGTCTTCTTCTTCCTCGGCGCCCAAGGGGGCGAAGGATTCTGTTAAGAAGCCCACTAGCTCGCAAGTGGGTTCTGAATCTGTTCCTGTCGTCCTCCGCCCTGCGTCTGCTCTTGCTGCGTCTCTTGTCGCGTTTGCCTCACCCGCGGCTTTGGCTGTGAACTATGACGATTTTGTCACTAGGGCTTCCTCTTCTGTTACGTCTGCTGCCTACTCCGTCCCTGAGCTCTCCTTCCCCGAGTTGCCCTCCGTCGACCTGGGTGGTGCCACCGATTTCGTCAGTGCCAATCCCTTGGCGGTCGTGGCTGGGCTTGTAGCTGTCACTGCCCCTTTCATCGCGTCTGGGGCATTGGCGGGTCCTGGTGCGTCATCCAGTTCTGTATCAGCTATTGAAGCTTATGCTAAGCTGTCTGATCCCGAGCTGAATGCTCAACTTCTGGATATTCGTGCACTCGAGGACGTGAAAGCCGAGGGGAGTCCCAACCTTAAGTCCATTAACAAGTCAGTCTTGAAGGTGTCCTATGCTGCGGGCGATAGTGCATTTGTGGAAAAAGTGCTCGCGAAGTGCAAAGCTGCTGAGGACACTACTCTCTACGTTTTGGACAGGTTAGTATGACGCGCAGGTTTTCGAGTCTTTGGGGTACTTCGAGTCTCCGGATACTGTGGTTATATCCAGCCAGATTGAACTGTGTGTAAATTCTTCTCCAGTCTTGTAATGTTGCGTGTAAATTGTCTCGGTGCAGCGTGATTGAGGACAGTAGGAGTGAAAGAAAAGATTTAGCCACGATTGTAAGTTGTAGATATTGAGAAAAGTGCTCCTCCTCGACCAGCTAATATCCATTGTTACGTCGTAGCTAAATTTTCGTTCTCCTCATTAACTGTGTACTGTTCCTTACGTCTGATGCAGTCTGATTCCTTGGATTTCGTGTGTACAGGTTCGACGGAAGCTCCGCAACTGTCGCCAAGCTTCTTTCCAACAGTGGATTTAAGAGCGCGTATGCAATCAAAGGTGGTGCAGAAGGTTCGAATGGATGGAATGTAGGGCTCTCTTCCCGCTCAAAATTTCTGCACCAGTATATTTTTGTCGTGAACGATCATTTTAATTTTCATTCTTCAACTCTTCGGATTTTAAGTCAGTGATTGACTCATCGGGATCGATCGTGCAGGAGAAGGACTTACCGTGGGCAACTCCTTCCAAAGCTCTCAAACTCGACCTTGGCAACCTGAAGAACTTGGTCGGGAATGTCGAAGGAGTAGATGTCGTATGAATCCTTGCACTTAATTTGTATTGAATGATATAGATATAGGACAGTTCTTCTATGTGTCATATGGACCTCAGGACGTACTAGCGTCCTAGCGACTCTCGATTCTGCATTATTGTAGGCAAATCATTTTACAATTCTGAACTCTTTGCTAACTTCTTACATTTGTAACCAATTCAGGATTCAGCTAGGTTGGTGCCAACGACGCTGGGAATTGCAGCAGCAGCTGGTGTTGGTCTCGTCATTTTATCCGAGGTTCAATTTTAGCTTGTTCAGACCCACTTTCATGCATGACGGTCACGCAAGTTTTAATTTTGGACTGCATCAGGTTGTGGGTTCTCTTATCATTAGTAGACAACATGCTCATTGTGTCCTTAATATTGAATCGAGCAGGCAGAGACAACCCTTCAGCTGCTCGGAACGGTTGCACTGGTGCAGTTGTTTGTCAAGAAGTTCCTCTATTCCGAGGTAAGTATTTCATCCCTGTCCTTGTCCTTTTCTTAAGAAAGAGAGAAATATTTTAAAACAAGGAAAAGAAAAGAATAGAAAAGAGGAGAATAAAAACGTAGGATGTGTCCGATCTGCTACTCAATAACATTCCTCGGCAGCATATGTCCTCATATCTCTTTTATTTTCTAAGAGTGGAGTTTGCGATGGGCTTGCAGGATAGGAAGAAAACAATCGAAGACTTGAAGTCTTTTCTGAATACTAAGATTGCACCCAAGGATTTAATTGATGATGTCAAGGTTCCTTTTCTTTTCCTTTTTATGTCTACCTCTTCATGATTTTATAACTATATGATTATTGTGTTGAAGTGAGACTACGCCATCAGGCACTTGAAGTACAATTTTGCAGATATTATGTAGCTGAAGTTCTTGATTAACAGAGGATTAAGTGAGAAATCGGTTTGGAGGTCATTAAACTTGTGTGTATTCTTCCCTAAGCGAGTTGGCAATGGATCGAAAGGCCCCTAAGTTAGATTGCGGATTTCAAATAGCTTTGTCGTCTAATCATCACACATTCATTTTATAAAATTACGCAGGAAGTCGGAAGAGTCCTCCTCCCTAAGGGTTCTGAGGTCAAAGCAGCTACTCAAACTGGAGAGGAAGTTTTAAAGGAAAAACTGGACGTAGAGTCGGTTACACCTGAAGCATTGGCAGAAAAAGCTAAAGATAAGATCGGAGAGATGGTAGACAAGGCTGAAGAAAAAATTGAAGTGGAAGCAGAGAAGCGTGGAGTAGAACTTCCAGATCTCAAAGCAGCTATTCAGACTGGAGAGGAAGCATTGAAGGAAAAACTGGAAGTAGAGTCGGTTACACCCGAAGCATTGGCAGAGAAAGCTAAATCATCTGTTCAAACTGGAGAGGAAGTTTTAAAGGAAAAACTGGACGTAGAGTCGGTTACACCCGAAGCATTGGCAGAGAAAGCTGAAGATAAGATTGGAGGGGTGGTAGACAAGGCTGAAGAAAAAATTGAAGTGGAAGCAGAGAAGCGTGGAGTGGAACTTCCAGATCTCGAGGGAGTCAAATCTGATCTTCAATCCAATTTTGAACCATCTGAGAAAGAGGTGGAAGAATCTAGTAACGGTTCTGCAACCCCTGCTTTGGGTGCTACACCTGCTGCTGCACCTCTTCCCGTTCTTCAAGAGCCCCCAAACCTTACGCCCAAGGCCGAGCAAGAACCCATAGTTGAAACTCCTGCGGAAGAGCCTAGTACAAACACGGAAACCAAACCATTTTTCGAAAGCGACGCAGATGTCAAACCTGCCAGCCCGTTCGAACCAGTTGCGTCAGTTATCTCTAGTGCCGATGATTCGGAAGCTGCAGCGGCCGATCAAGAACCCGTAGTTGAAACTCTTGTGGCAGAGCCTAGTACGAACACGGAAACCAAACCTCTCCTCGAAAGCGATGCAGATGTCAAACTGGCCGGCCCATCCAAACTGGTGGCGTCAGCTGTCTCTAGTGCCGATGATTCGGAATCTGCAGCGGCCGCATTTGAAGGTGATGAACCACCAGCTTATGAAGAACCGGGTTCTAGTGAAGGTATTACTGCTAAAGAGTTGGAGGTATCTGCCTCTTCTCGCGCTGGCGACTCATCCAGGTATTTTCTGGCTCTGTTAGTATTTTTCAGTCTAAACGACTGAACGGATAACTTCCAGATATAATGCAATCTGCAGTTAAGACAGCTCATTAAATGTGATATCGCATGCCGAGATTAACGGAAGGTGGAATGCTTCAAATGAAGTTTTTGTTTCTACGCATTATAATATAAGTGTTTGCTAACTTTGATTGTGCAGTTGAAAAATCAAGGCCCACAGCTCCGCCTATGTCATCAGGACCATGATTAATCAGTGATGTTACACAAACTCCCTGATTTCTGTACTTAAAGTGCTCAGCCATTCATGGACGGTGGACGTACTCATCACTAATGTGACAAAGCATATTTAATTTTGTAGCGGAAAAGTTTTAAGGTGGATCAACTTACCAATGCAGTATTGTTACAACTCTACAGCAGCATCTAGAAACCTTGAGATAGGATCGTTGTTGGTACAGATAGTGGTCGAGTTGGATTGTAGCGGTTGATTAGATGAGGTAAACATTGAGCTGCTGTGTATTTGTACTCGACACTCTTTGTGAGCCCCTTAGTGAAAGTATCATGCCTGTATAGTTTATGTACAGTCAATATGATGCCCGTGTCTGTGGCCCGTGTTACGCAGACCCCTGTAAAGTCCAGATCTCATTTGAATAATTACTGTTCGGTCATCTTCAAAATCTCAAAGAATCTTAATGAAAAGGGAATGTCATATATGAGAGGGAACTTGCGGTTGATTGTATGGAGTCTTGGCCTAATGATGTGGACATTTTTTGTGTACAGTTATTTCTCGACCCCAATCCTCTACTGTTTGGGCATTGCCTAGTATTTGGGCCAAGTGGAGTGGGCATGAAAAAGTGTTCCACTGCAGAATGCATCTGTCCTACACCTCATCCCTGTCAAAATGCAGTACAACTCTTGTACTACTACATATGTACTAGAACAGATGATGTATTTTTGGTTGATAAAGCTATCATGTATCTACGCCATCAAAGGCGGAATTTTCACTTAACCACCGCTGATTGAACTTCAGATTATTGGTTGTGTTCTGAGCCAGTCATGAATACATTCAATGAATATCCTAGAGCAGAAACAACTGAACATAAAGATAAAAATAGTAGTTTCTCAAAGGAATCGTCTCTGTTCTCTTCCAGGATCATAGAAATGCGGTGTATCTGTGATTCCCACGTGAAGCTTCCCTGTGCCACTTCTCTGTATTAACTCTCGACACTTCAAAGCTTCGGCAAAGCAACGATCTTCAAATGTGGATACAACAATTGTTCAAGAACCAGACATTCTCCTTGTACACTTTCTGACTATTGAATTGCGCTTTTTATGTACTGGACAATTCAGATGTTATGACTACAGGCCATTACAATCAATCTCCAGCACCTCCCTTTAAAAGGACTTCTGTCGATGGAAACTATGTCATAATCAGTAGTACATACATCTGGAAGCAGTCTCTAAGTGAAACATAGTATTATCATAATCAGAACCACATCACCCGTTGCACGTTGCCATTGAGGTTCGTTGTGAATCTCAACCACAAACATTCTTCATAAGAAGAAGAAGAATACAAAATGGACATCGATCTTTTAAAAGTTCACGCAAATATTCAACTGAAAGAGGCAGAGAATCAGTGATATTGAAAAAGAATAGAAAAGTATGGCTGGTTTTCATTTACATTAATGCCCTGAACTTCTCCTGAAGTTAAGTTACCTATTTTACTTGAAACTTGTCATGGTGTTTACTTTTACTTTTATCTCCCCCTGGCCAACGCATCTTTTGCGTTTCCGTTTTGTTTTTGGGGGGCGAGGGGTGTTTTGCTGCCGATTCCGGGAAGAGGGAGAAGGGATTCTGAAATGCGGCGGCACCTTGGCTTTGCGTTGCGGGGAAGGAACTATCTCGTGACCTCGTGGCGTAACAATTGAACGCCATAGCCTCGATCCCGTGCGCCATTTGCAGGCACTCTTCCATCACGCACTCTCAGGTACTGCTGGGCGGTCCTCTCTCGTTTGCTGTCTTGCTCGCCGGGTCGAATCGGCTACGCTTCTGTCCCCTGTTGCGAGTTTCCAGGCCTTGCGTCGCAAATTTGCCTTAAATTTCCCCGTTGCTCTCTGTTCTGTTGTTGGGTCTCGAGTCCCTCGTCAAGGTCTTGCGTTTCACTTTTGGGTTGTGTTGAATTGCTCGTGTTTTGAGCTTTCGGGAGCAACTTCGGGGAGTTGCTCAATCGCGCCTTCGTGTTTGGTCGGTGTTCATGCGCTTCCTTTTCATAGTGCGTTCTCTAGTTATTTTTTTCTTGGGTTGGTGCAACGGTGTGGCTCTAAGGGTGCTATGGATTGTCACAGGTTATTTTGGGGTCGGCAGCGGAAGTTTGAGGTAAATTTGAGCATCATGGCGATTCGGAACCTGCGATGGGGAGTTGCGGTTGCGGTGGTGTTGGTGTGCATGTTTGGCATTGGAGAAGGTTCACATGTCAGTCTTGGTACGGCTGTTAAGCAGTTGTCACCTGTGTAATCGTGGGTCTTTATGTTGTTGTCATGCGTTGGGAATCTACTAAATTCGTGTCCAATTACGTATTTAATAGGGCTGCACTCTGTGTCGGGCGTTTGATACGGGAATTGAGAATGGTAGCGTCTCACTCGGGACAACTCACTCCATTGTAAAATCAGTGTAAAAGATGGTTTTCTTGAAGTCTCTGCACTTGCATTGCGTGTTTGTTGTGCTTGCATTTGCATTTGCATTTAAACGGTCGATGGATCTCGTCATAACAGCAGTTTATTTTAGGCAAAATTTGGCTTCTGACAATGTTTTTGGATTATTGCGTGAAGGCACAGTTACAAGGTTGACAAAGCTCGGTCGCAAGGAAGCAGGTTTTGCGAAGGTAAATTTGTGCGATAAATGCCTTCAGCTGTCGCAAGAAGCACAGATGGTGCTGACTAACCCAGACACGTCAATGAAGGTCATGAAAACTGCAGATCACGTTTTGTGTGACAAACTTCAACCAGGGCTGAAAACGAAGGTTAGTAGTTTTCACTCGCTCGCGTCTTATCCACTTGTGGGCAGTTGAGTGGCTATCTCCAATGATTTGTGGTGGACGTAACCATCCACACACACACACATATATATATATATATATATATATATATATATATATGTATATCGAGAGAGAGAGAGAGAGAGAGAGAGAGAGATACGTAGAGATAGACAAATAGATAGAATGGATAAATGATAATCCCTTTGAATTGTTTGTGTTCTCGATATAATCTGTCGTCTCATGGAAGCTGCTTGTACGATGCCTTTTGTAGGCAGTGACAAAAGGCAGTGGCCAAACCTCATTCAGCATTTGTGATCCGATGTTGGGTTTTGTGAAGTGGGACGAGGATGGTATGTACCGTGCAAAAAGTTTAGGTGGTAGAGACTAATGTTACGGTTGATAATGATATATCGTGTTGTTTTGGCAGTGTGAAAGAATGGTGGCTGACTATGTGCCGCAAGCGTTCTTGGAGTTAGAGGCACTGCTTGGCCCACAAAAACTTTGCTATGAATCTGGGCTCTGCACGCCCCCTGCTATCAAGGCTTTTCAAGACGAGAAGAAGACGTGCGTGGTTTGCGAAGCCTTGGCCACTGATGCTTTGACCTATTTGGACAACAACCGAACACGCGAAGAGATTGTAGTTGCTCTCCACCTTGCGTGTGCACAGATGAAGGAGCTTAGCAAGCAGGTAAGCAAACAGTCGTGAGCTGTTCACTCTACCTTTAAGTGGTCACATGATTTGTAGAATGATCCTGTTCCTTCGTCACTCTTGGTGCAGAGTCAGCTTGGAAGCCTCGATCTTTAAAAGGAGAGGGTAAAGAAGTCACACAATGTGTAGTAAAGGCAACTGTTCGATGGTCGACTAATGATAGTATTTTGTGCAGTGTGACCTTCTAGTAGATGTGTATACCCCGCGAATGATGGAGCAGCTTGGGAACATTACGCCTCAGTCTTTCTGTGAGAAGACCAGGATGTGCAAGCCACCAAGGGTCTTCGGTAGCAACGATTGTGCGACGTGCCAGTTTTTCATTTTAGAGATCAAAATAAAATTGCAGGACCCAAAGACTCAGGTAATCAGTCCAAAAGTAGATTTTTTGTCTCGTATGTGCTGAGGGGCTATATTGTATTGGCCTGCTTTTGACCTTCCCACATTCCCGTCTTGTCTTCTTTCTAAATACTTAGGAAATTTTAGTCATATTGTATTTTCACTTTGATGGAATGGTTGAATCTGCAGAGTTCAGAGTGATTGAGATCAGAGTCTTGAGCCTGAGCTAGTACGAATGAATGGGATAAAATTCTGATTTGAATTGGTGTGGTGTATTACCGCAGGAAAGGGTGCTGGATGTGCTGATGAATGCTTGCAACCGTATTACTAATCACGTTGATGAGGTTTGGCCGTTCTTATTCCCGTCCTCTTTTATCTTCAATATCTGTGCTGGACCAGAAGGAGAAATGTGTAATGTTTATTATGTATCTGTTTATTAATCTCTTAGTTTGTTTTTGGTCAAAATATATGTGATGAGTTCTCAGTTTTGACTTTTCTGATCTCTTGTACTGTAGTGTAAGTCGCTTGTGGCACAGTATGGCCCAATAGCACTCGCCGATATCGACAAGGTACTCGATGCTCAGGCTGTGTGCTGCAAGGCTGGTATCTGCAAATCTAGAGTTTGTCCTCAGAAAGCCAAAGCGTGGACGGAGACGATGGCGGAGCTATTCTACAAAGACGACGAGCCTCTTATTGCCTTACCGCAGGAACGCCTCACTAGCACTTACTGAAGACCTTTGTATTAGTGCGAAGGGGTGCTTTGATACTTTAGCATTGTAACTTGTGTGGTGAGGGATTTTCCAGGGTTATATATGTACTTTTGTAGATGACATTCAAAATGGTTGGTCGTTTGGTTCACCTAGACTGATCTTTGTGACTTAGTTATGACGGGTATCTTATAATAGGTAGATTTGATAGGATTTGTTGTTTTATATGAGAGTGTGAAAGCACTGATTGTAAGTTCACGTTTTTAAATGAGTGCGTCATTCATTTCATTTGGCATCTTGAATCAGTTATTCATTGAGGTAAGGTATCGAATCAATAAATGTTAAGTTGTATGAGCAATATGCTGTTCTTTGCCGCTCTGCAAAGGTCACGAGTTCTGCTTGTAACTGGGCACAGTTGAGTCTTTTCGGACTTTTTGAATTTAGCTCGATGAGAGGAGCTGATCCATTTACAACCAAACAATTGGTTACTGGAGTGGAAACTACTGTCTTTCAGCGGGATCCCGAGATTTCACCAGACAGAAAGGGATGCTGTTTTATTTCCACTCTTATATGTATAAATTCATAGAAGAATTTTTATTCTTCTTCAAATCGACAAATCAAATTGGAGGTGCCATGGCTATACATTTAAGAGCTAAGAGTTGAAGTGAAGGAGGCTGTGTAAAAGAACTTTTCTTGCTCCAAATTTTGACACACATATCAAGACAAAGTAATCCTACTATACAAGATTTAACACTACCATTGAAGATTTAATAAGGTTGATGTTGATCTAGTCTTAAAGTTTCAAATATGAAAGATGTTTTGTTGGAGCAAAATCAATAAGAGCTAGGCATGATAGTGCCTAGACAAGGGAAGGGTTTTTGGTGAGATGATAGGTCAAATCTTAGATCCAAAAGGAAATTACATGGTCCTTATTGTCTTGGATGGTTTTGTCTAAGGCAATGCTTGCGTAGGTGCAATGGTATCTCCCATGGAAAAATACTTCCATTGCCTAATTATGTACTACTCTATTATCAACATCTATTCATAGATATATATTGAAATACAAAAAACAAACTCTAATTCAAACATTCATATTAGTTTTTTATGGTTACAAGATACTTCAAAAATTCACTTGAATTCAACGCAACTTCTTTCTTTGAATGCACAAACGCCATCAAGTGCACGTTACAACAATATGAGCATCTTCCCTACAAAAAAAAAACACAACAACAAACATCGTCAAAGGTTCTATGTAGGACCCCGCTGTCAGGTTGGCAGTCCTGACAATGTTTGTAGTATACAGAGCCCCCTCCTCATGATCGACCCCAGTTCAGCCCACTCTAAAATATTTTTGTAAACACTTAATTTGATAATTTAATTCCCATAAAAGCTTGTTTGACCTTCCTTTTCTCATTGTCTTTCTCTCTTCTATATGTTCCTTTCTTACCCTTTTTTTTTTTTTTTTTTTTTTTTTTTTTTCCCCTCTTTTGACTTAATTCTTTTTTATTAGTAATTCAACAGTTCATGGCTGCAATGACAATGGGAGGGCATTATCCACACCATTGTGAGCCTTCGGATTTTGCCAACCTTTATTTTAACATGCAGAGTGAATGCTCACAAACCAACCAGGTTTAATCAACTCTTCTTTTATTATTTCTGTTTGTAGTAAATGCTTTACCCTTCATTTTCAACAATGCATCAGCATCAGTGCAAGATTGCTTATCCAGAATGGAAAAGAAACCCAGTGCATACTACTAATGCCAACCAACAAAAGGAGTAGGGAACAGAAAGGAGGAAAAAAGTGAAAGTACGAAAAGGAGAAAATGAAAAGATATGAAAAGACATGAAAAGCCAAAAACAAAAGAAAAGGGGGAAAAGCTTAATTTCTCTCATACAGACAAAATTTGCATTGCGCCAATGTAATATAACAAACATGCAACAATAAAACAAATTACACTCGCCAGCCAGGCTGTATACAGTAGGAAGGTCATTCATTCCTCTACATTAAAGCCTTTTGCGTTGATGACGTTGCAAGCCTCGTGGATATAAAATGTCCATTCAATACGTTTAGGACTATATATATATCAATGTACATATTATTACATAATTTTTACTTTAGAATTCATTGCCAAATGTTGTTTCAAATTTGATTTAAAACATTTCTTTTCAACAAATATATTTTCAGGTAGCTTTTAAAATCTATATATGTGCATAAAAAGACTATTATATTTAATTATACGCATTGTTGGATAATAATCGAAAAGAATTCTCATTCACAAGTTGTAGACTAGAAAAGATAACACGAAGAATTTTTGAAAAGTACCACATAATTTTTGATAAAATCCATGTGTATGAGTAAGGAAAGCGTCCAATAACACATGTATTTTTTCACGATGCTCATTAAGTATTCTAAAACTCAAAGAGTCAAAATAAAAATAAGGACACACTAAAAACGTGGTGACTGCCTAAACATCAATTTAATCGAAGGGTGGCGATCAAATTTATAGTCTTGAGATCACGAGATCCGCGACGAGCCATCGAATCTAGATGCCTACGCGCGCGCCGCCGCGGGGTTCAGTCCTATTCGACTTTGTGGGGGAACTCCGTAGCTGCAGAGGTGGAGGGGTGATGGCATTTTGGGTTGATAGAAGACGAAGTTTGTGTCCACAGTTGTTCTTGTGGGGCTGCGCAGGCCCACGTAGGTCGAGCTGGAGTAAGAGAGTCCGAAGTTTGTGTCCACAGCTGACCTTGTGCAGCGGTGCTTGTAGCTGGATCGTGCTGCGATGGATTGTGATGAGGAACAGGCAGCAAGCAGGGATGGCCGCTCCCTGAGACGACTTCACTAGCCAGCAGGTTGGAAAGTTTGTGGCTGCAAGTGTAATAAGAGGGCTAAGTTTCTTCAGCTCTCTTACAGGTGAGGCGCTTGTTCTCAGTTCGGCTCCGTAGAAACTCTTGGAGAAGTTGATGAGTGGCTTAGGAAGAGTGATGGAATTGGACAGAGCTGGGGGGATTGCTCGGACAGTAGGGTGGTAGAATCAGGAAATCTAGCTCGGAATCTAGTGCTGGTGCCTGGTAGATTTTATTGCCTCAACGCGAGTTTCCTATTTTCACTCCTGTCAGCTCCTTACTCCCATTGCTGCCCATGGTCTTGCTTCCGGCTGGTAACCTATTCTATCTTGAAGAGGGTCCATTTTCAGAAGAAGATTGTGACGTTTGAAGTAAGAAATTAGATTGTTTACAGTGATAGCTCAGTTCATGCGTAATTCGCACATTCGCATTAAGATTCTACCTGCAATCTTCGTCAGACAATGCTCTTCTCTATTTGACAAAGCCTTGTCATTTCATGCAGAAGATTTTCACAGAGCTTTCTCTGATTGATATTTAATGTCGAGGGATACTGTGGAGTCAAATGGAGAATTAAGATTCCCATTTGACTGTTGTTCTCCCAAGCTGCTCAAACTCTGGCAGCTCCAATTGCAGCAATTAATGCTGCAAATGACTGCATTATTTCCTTCTCAATGTGGGTTTTATCAGTAGACGGGCTCATTAGGAGGCGTTTGGGACACCCTTTGCATTCAGATTACTATTTAGTTCATCTCATGTAGTGCAGAATGCAGTGACATTGTGAGGATGCTGTGGTAAGTTCTCATTACTAGTGCAACTTCTTGCTATTTATTTTTGTAGGGCATCTGAGAACCAATCGCGCTTCCCTCAACCGTAGAACAAAGCCACGCAAACTTCTAGATCGAGGGTCAAACATTCTGGAAAAAGATCCACACAAACACGCAGAGGCCGACTGGCCACAGCAGCGACTCGCGCTCCTTTCGGAACGAGCAATATCCTCACGCCTTTCGTGAGCACAATAGTCTGTAGCAATTATCCTGCCTTGAGATCAACAGTCATCTCAACAGCCCCAAACCCAAGTGCAAGCACAATCCCACAGCGCTGATGAGTCCGAGCAGGGGAGCCACGCTTTCACCAAGGACGGACTTGATGCACCAAAGCAGAAATTACTACATCCCAGAGCCAAGCACCGCAACCCAGCGGAAGCAAGACATCTCTGGGAGAACAGAGAGCCCCGTTACCAGGAAAAGCATGACCAATTCTCACTATCCGCAAAATCTCACCATTCTGAGACCGCCACGAAGACAGTCGGAGAATAGCCGCAAGCTCGCGCAGCTGTCCATCACTAGCTCACAGATTACGGAGGATGGCGGGATTGTGCCCGCAGTGAATCATGCAAGCCTGAGTCCCGATCAGGCACGGCTTGCGTATAATTCTAACCTTAACGATCCGCTCAGGTCATCCAACAATGTGCTTTGTCAGCCTGTTGGAGCGGGTAACAAGACAAGTCTTGAGAATAATTCGTCAAGCTCGACAACGAGGTTGAAGAACATAATATTAAGGCAAGTTGAGCAGCAACTTTCTCACCCCTTTGTTTTCAAGGGTTCATCCCCCGGACGAACAAGGAGGAATTCGTCTCGTTCAGCATCTCCTAGCTTGGCGAAAAGTGGAGGTGAGGTACGGAATGCGGCGAGGAGCATCAACTGGGAAATGGACAATTCATTCCAGGGCAGCAAAGGGAAGACGAACTCAGAGTGTGTGAACTTGTCGGCTCTTCCGAGCTGGCGAGGCCAAAGTGTTGATACATCTACTGCGATCGATGAGATGTTTCGAGGTCAAGTCCTTTAACTTGTCATCACTGTTTATTGAGGGTGATTTTGCTTCCAATGTTTCGTAGGAGTACGGTTGGGGAACATACTAAACTTCATGATATTTCGTTGAATTCAGAGTTTTCAGGGGGGTGCAAGCCACCCAGTCTGCGGTCGAAAGTTGGAGATCAGAAGGTGGAGTCGACGCAAAAAACAGGGGCCTTTAACCTATTCAACTTCATGAGACGGGGCAAAAAGAAAAACGGAGCGACTGGCGCTGCAGTAAAAATGACCCAATCCTTTTACTCCAGTAAGGAGGGTGTAAAAGCAGATTCTGATTCTTTCATGGTTTTAAACTACACTATCACGACTCTACGATACAAGTTTGAGCAGGCAAACCAGACGTATAATATGGCAGCCGAGAAGATTCGCGAATTGCAAGCAGCTGCGGAAGCTTGTGACGAGAAGTGCAGGTTGTTGACAGAACAGTGCGATAGTTTGGAGCTTCAACTGATTGCTCGACAGAATGGGCTCTGTTGCATGGAACTAGAGGCGGAGGATCACGTTTTGGGAAAGAGAGAGATCAATCTTCCAGCTGCAGGACAGCCACCCGTAGCTCGTCGATTTCCCTCCCAGGATCTCACACCAAAGCAATTCTTGAAGGTGTTGGAAGACTCAAAAAACTCTCTAAGGAAACTAAGTTCAGCAATTTGCCACCACATTTGGGAGTCAGGTGAGTCGGCCACGCAAGTGATAACCTCTCTCTTGGAACAGCACATGGTTGGGCGATGGGTCCGCCAGTTCCCAGGAAACGTAATCATCCTGTACTTCGAGTCCTTCCTCAACCAGGTCATGTTTGAAAGCTTTGAGAATATAAGCTTCGAGCCTAATGGAGCCTCCTCCGTGTTCGACCCTGATGCATTGAAACAAACCTGCTACCAATTGTATCAGAATCTGAAGAACCAGGAGTGGTCTTCCATTGAGAAATCCCTCGGCAAGCCTGGCGCTCTGGTGGTGAACGCACACTTTCATCGCTTCTTCGTGGGTCGAATGGATTTGATCCTTTCCCAACTCGGAAAACTGACCCATAGCGAGATCTCGCTGAACCTCATGGGGGCCTTCTTCAACGCAGCCAAGTCAGTCTGGCTTGTGCACCACATGGCATTCGCATTCGACCAGCCAGTCTCGATCTTTCGAGTATCACCATCCGCTGAATTCGACCCTCGATTCATGGAACAAACCCCTGCCTTCAAGGAACAGCCTGCTCAATCCAACATCAGCATCATGGTGAACCCAGGCTTCATTATCAATGACCAGACTATCAAGTGCCAGGTTTTGTGTAGCAGTAAATATCGATAGCGGATTCTTTTCTCGGTCTGGGACGTCCAGACCAGACCTCTATTAATATAACTTGGTTGTATGTTACCAAGTTTATTGTAAGGAAAACTTGGTAACATTCAACCATGTTTTCCTTACAATAAAATACCAAGCGTTATGGCTGGAACCTTTATGTAGCTCATTGCAATATACTCACATTTGACAATCAATGATTGTTTAATCTGTTCCTCTTTGTTCTTAAGCTGCTCTACTAGTGAGATTTCTTTTACTGGCAGAAGGTGCAGCAGCTCATCATGCTGTGTGTAATTGCATATTTCATATGTCTCATAATGATTAGGGCATAGGCGTGGTTGACCGAAAGAACGTATGATCTATCCAAACCCCCTCAACCACTGTTCGGGATCATCAGTGAACGCCTGCCCCTAAGAAATGCAGGAGGAAGAGACCTACAGAGTTCCATGACCAGAAATCGTCTTTACGGTGAGTCATTTCCTCACACGAACGTACTTAGTGCGTGATACGGGTAAGAGTTAAAAGTGGCATATACCACACAATGCCCCCTAGAGTTAGTCTGATATTCTATCTTTAAATGAAATTGTGAGCGGATATACTTCGAAGCAAACCACTGAGTGCCACACTTGATGTTCAGTCCCTTCAAACACGACCCTCGATGTTTATTACCGGCAAGATCGTAAAACTAAACCCTGATTATGACCCAGAAAAGAAACTGACACCTGTATTAGTTAAAATGTTTGTACTCTCAACTGCTATCTTTAAAAGTGATTATTTACTATCTTGGGATTCAGAAAGGGGGAGATCAGCCGTTGAACCAACCGTCCAGCAGAAGTTACCCAACATGTGGGATTGCAAAGCTTGCCGCTGGCTCATGAAGGTGGGATGCTAAGCATGCTGAAGAAGCACGGGAAAGAAAGCATGGGAAGCAGGGAATGGAAACAGCAAGAGAAGATGGAGATGGGAGAAAGTGGAGACGGGAGTGATGATGAATGGCAGCGTAGATGAGAAATGACTTGTGTAGAGGGGGCCGAAGAGGAGTAGATGCATTCATACCGCCGTTTGAGAATGGTAATGGTATCGGCGTTAGGCACCTCGGCGTGTGCAGCTTGCCGGGTGCTCCGCCGGAAATGCACTGCTCAGTGTTTATTTGCACCTTTCTTCCCCCCCGACCAGCCACAGAAGTTTGCTCATGTTCACAAGGTGTGCTCTCTGATTCACATGCACGTCTTGCCCTTTGCACTGCTCTTGAAATTTTGCTTCAATTCAAGTCAGCTTCCTAGAGTTCCTCAATCCATTCTTTATCTATCAAAGAATGTCACAGTGGATATGTATTTACGTTGACTCAATGCTGAGTTCGTTAGCCATGCATGGCTCGCCTTCACAGCAAAGATCGCATTAGTAAAATGATTGTGAATTTGCGTTGAAAATGTTGGGATAACAGACTCTGAAGTAGTACCTAACAGAGTACCTCGACCTCGGGAAATGAACAATTTGTATTCACGTTGTTCAGGATGGTAGATTGGGAATCACTCGATTGGGTTTGCTGCTCATATCTCAACACAACCCTAGAATCATTCCAACAAGACATGATGCAAACTCTTAGTCAACCACGCGGTTTGTTCTGTGAGACTAAGTTTGAAATTCTTACGAGAGCAATGTGGCATTGGTGGTTTCGTCATCACCAGATAAAAATAAGTAATAAAGATATTGAATGCGCCAGAAACTCAATAGCAATGACTTCATGGTTTCTCTTGCTTTGAGTCTGCTGTTATGTGGTTTCAATGTGGACAGGTCTTTGGTTCCATCAGCAAGAGCTAGAATTTCCATAATTATACAGCCCTTGCATCAATTCGGGACATCAGACTCGAAAAAACGTGGTGGGACTCTACAGGTATTGCTCTCCTGAGGAAAACTCGAGCACACGTACAAACAGTTTTGTTGTTATCATAATATTTATTACAGTGGTAAGCAGGCTTGAAGAGAGTTGTGTGAAAGGCTGGTAGGTGTTTGGCGTCGCAAATGTCACAAAGATGCTGCATGAGTTGCCACCTCCCCACCGTGAAGATTGTGTGAATTCCCTTGCGTACGAGGCAGATGCAGGGGTTCAAGACCCTGTTTATGGCTGTGTAGGAGCCATATCTGTCCTTCAGCAGCAGGTTTTCCATAATCCCTACCCGTAGCACATCGTGCAATCTATTCTAATTTCTTGCAATCAATTGCAAATTATTAACAAGCATACCTCATAATACTCATTTCACAAATCGTCGTCAAAATCCTCAATAGTAACCCGGTAGGCATGAGCTCATTTTCAGCATTAGTAATAATATGTTTGAATGTGAAATCACAATTTGAATGGGTCTGCATATAAGACCCTTCGGAATGAGTAGGTCGACACGCTAGTACATTCAGTTTTAAAGTAGTTCAGTGGAAGTAGAAGGTGGCCCTATTTCATTTGCTTCAAGAAACTGATTTCACATGATTCAGCTGCAAGAATATACCGTTCGTAGTGAAAACCTTCAAACGAAGCATTGTAGAGAATATTTCAGGGTAAGACAGCAGAAGTTGTCATCACCACTCACAACTACTTGGCCTTCTGCTCAAACACCCCCATACAGAAAGTATCAGCAAGAGCTTGACCTTAGTGAAGGGAGAAAACCAGGGTTTCGAAATCCACAAACGCGCAAATGCACATGAGACTAACTATCATACTAACATCAAAATGATCAACCTGCCTCTTCCCTACTGTCTTCACTTGACTCAAGCTCTACGTTCTGGCCAAGTGATTGTGGGGACAAAAAACCATACAAGTAAACGTAAGGATATGCCCTAGACTAGAGAATGAAATTGAAACAGTTCTCAAAAAGGGAATGTTGAACGTAGGAGGGTCCTGATTACAGGTGGCGCACTTGCAGACACAACTGGCGATAGCAACCTCCGCGATCAAGACTTCGTTAGACCTTCGCCATCACCACCAGCGCCTCCAACGCTTACTCCAGTCCTCCTTTTTGCAAACCTGCTCCTGCAATCGACGAGCCAACTCTCTTACTTGGGCCTTCTCAAGCTTTTAAGAACGATCAATCTGCCGACCTTGATCGCCCCACTCTTGCAGTTGATCCACCAAATGAAGAATCATCCCCCCAGCAACAACCACAGCCAGCCGTTACTTCTTGGGACACCTCAAGGCCTGCTTCTTCAGAACTCCTCCGGCTTCCTTGCAGTGCTCCTCGAACATCTCAGCCTGAGCTAATTGTTCGCCAGCAAATCTGAATCTTTGTGAGGAATTACAACATTTTTCTATGGTATAGCTTGCACTCTAGCAAGTGATCGAAGATGAAATTGATGAATCGCATGAGTCTGGGTGATGCTCTCTCATTACATCGACCGTTTTATAATTGACACAAGTTCTTTCATGACATATTAGCTGCCCAGCTTGAAGAAGAGTGGAACAGAAATTACAAAAGATTGTCTTGAAGCCTACTAGCTATCACATTAACTTGAGATTTAATCTACCTCAACTTGAACACCATACCCCTGAATCTGCTGTATTTTTCTCCGAGGCCGGCACGACTGAGGCCAGCAGCTCCATGGACATGCAAACACAGGCTCCACAATGCATCTCAAAACCAACAAAACAGTTTGTGCAACGAAAACACGAGTGATCCCAGAACTGAACGTATTGCATATCTTCATGATCTGTTCGAGGAATCGTGAACTTGTTTGAGCAAATGCAGCATCAAACTTCGAAAACCTCTCAAGACTTGACCAGATGGCATGAGTAACTGCTCTAGCTGAAATGAAATGATTTTGGTAACAGCTTGAGTTTAAATAATAGTTTTTTGAAACTTGTGTACAAAATTTTTGGAGACTCTTGCATTAAAGATTTTGATACAATATTTTTAAGTAATTTTTATTGCAATAATTACTTTATTCTAATTATTTTAAAAATTAGCTTCTAATAGTAACAATCAAACATTTAAAATATTAAATATTAACAAGTATCTTTAGTTAAAATTAAATTATATCTCCTTAAAATAGAACAAAAATATAAAATAAATAAGTAAAGTACAAAAGAAAGATAAAAAAAAAAGAAAAAAGAAAAAAAAGAGAGATTAATGTTTGATTACAACAAATGTCTATTTTTCTACATGTAAAAATTTTAGTAATTTTGTTTTTATATATTTAAAGAATGATTAATATATATTCTTATATAATAAAAGTGGCGTATTTTTTTAATACTCACAATATTAGAGTGTATAATTATGTAATTTTAACAAAAGACACAATTAATATAATACTTATGTATTAAATTGATACTTAGAAATATATCCAATACTCCTACTAATATATCAGTTTAATTGTATTATGAATATGATTTTGTCCATTTCGTGGTACAATCTTCATCTTCTTCAATCATTTTTGTAAGACTTAAAGCTTTATTGCTGTCTTGTGTTCATTTTTCTTTATTTTAGATCTTTATAAAATGTTGTTGTTGCCTTGTGCTCTCTTTGCTATGGTTTGGAGCTCTGTAATGTGTTGTTGACTTGTACTTATTTTTGCTAAGATTTAGAGATTTACAACATGTTCTTGTTGTTTTTTACTCTCTTTGTTGTGCTCTAAAAGCTTCACAAAGTGTTGGTGCTGCCTTGTGCTTCATTTGCTAATATTTGAAGATTTGCAACAAGTTGTTGCTTTTAGGATGACATAGATTGTAAGCACATGCATCTTGTTAAGGGTTTGGTCAAGTTTATTCTTCATGTTGTAAAAGAATTCATTTTCTTTAGTTTTTATTGAGATGTATGGTTTAGGAAGAAAAAAAATAGTCCTATGTTTTGTTAAAGTAGCTATAATATCTTACTAAAAGTGATAATAATGCTTCACCAAAAGTTTTCTTATGTTGTAGTAGTGATTGCAATTTTGTTTTTGGAGCTTTATTTTTGTAATAACCAAGTTGATTAAGTATTATTTATCTTTTAATTTTAGACTTATTTTTTAAAAATAAAATTTATTAATAAAGAATTTTAAATATTTTTTACCTTACTTTTTATAGGATTTATCTTTGAAATTAATCAAGATCTTAACTATTACTTTTGAAATTAGATTTGTTTTTTAAATAAATTTTTATCTATATTTATTAGTAAATGTGTGAAATCTTATCTTATAAGATTGTTGTATAGTATTATTTAAGTATGTTAGATTGCATTTCAAACAATTTTGATTCAATTTATTTATTGAAGAGTTCTTATTTTGACAAGTCTTGGATAAACACACTTATTAATTGATTTATCTTGTACTCAAAGGCATATTAAAGTGTAAATGGTTTTTAATAGCTTGAGCAAGTAAGTTTAGAAAAATGGTCATAAAATTGATCAAATACAAATCCAAAAAAAAAAAAAAAAAAAAAAAAAAAAATGTAGATATATTGCTAAAAATTTCTTCCACAAAAGTGACGAAGATAAGTCTGATTTTGATTTGTGAAAGTCATTAAAGGTTAAATTTTAGATGTTAAGTGGTCTTGAAGTTCACGTATTAAATATATACTTCAGTTTTTCATTCAATAATTATGTTATTTTAGAAATAAGAATTTGATTAAAATATTAATATTCATGTTTAAGATTAAAATATATTTAAATTAAAATTCTTAAAATAATACTTTTATTTTGGTAAAATCATATCAAAAATCAACATCCTTATTACTTGAATGATATTTAAAATTTTATTCAAAGCAATAGTATTTTGGCTGTCATAATAAATATTATTAGGAGTAGGTTGAGAAAAACTTCATTTATTTAATAATTTGCAAAGCCAAATTACTTATGTCAATCCTTTATTTAATATGAGTAGTTTCATGAAAGAAAAAATCTTAAAATATAATAATCTTATGTAAAAAAATTCATAAAATGATATACTTTAGATTTTTTTTTCTATAGCCAAAAAAAATAGTAGCAATAAAATATGAATCTAACTTTTATCTTGTTTCATTTTAAATTAAAATATAGACTTTGCTACAAAAGTTCTAAGATAAGATAAATGTTGTTGTTTGCCAAACCATATTTTAAATGACATTTTATTTACTACAATTACTTTTGAAGATAGTTTGTTATTAAGAATACTTCTCTTCAAAAGCATTTTGGTAACTTAAATTCAATAACATTGCTAAAACTATTGCCATTAAAGTCCAGACTTTGCATTCCAATAAATCATTTTGTTAAGATGAATATGAAGTAATAAATCTTTTTTTGATGCCTTTGACACAAAAGTTGAAAAAAAATTATCAAAAATATATTTATGAAAGACATAAATTTCAAAGAACTAAAAGATCATTACTCTCTTCTTTCACTTGAAAAGACTAAAAAGTCACTCAAAAAATGATACAATATTAAACTAAAATGGCTATTGTCAAAGATAAAAAGACTAAAAAGTTTTGAAATAAGATTAAGAACTAAAAAGGCATTGAGAAGAGTGAAGAAGGCTTCATTCTTGCCTCCATATATACTACCTAACTAAGAGCTACATGGCAATGTTCTATAAGACCTCTAATACATATTGACTTTGCAAAATACATGTCTTAACTTTCAAGACAAGATTTTTATATGTGCACCTGTCAAGGACAAGAACTTGATGAAAGCTAAAGAGTAAATGAGACTTTTCTCAAAAAGAAATAGGACAAAATAGAAATATGTATATTAAGAAAGAAACTGGAATGGCTATTGCCAAAATACAAGAAAACTAGAGACCCTTGAAACTAGACTAGAAGCAAGAAAGGAGTTGACAAGAGTGAAGAAGCCTTCACTCTTGTCTCTATATATACTATCTAACTAAGGGCTACGTGGCGACGTTCTATAGGACCTCCAATATGTGTTGACTTTGTAGGACACATGCCTTGACTTACAAGGCAAGTTTTTCTACGTGTGGGCCACATAGTTAGCTTGATCTTCAAGCTAACAACATGTGTGGCACATGGCCAACTTGTTGACCATGTTTCTAATCCAAAAAGTCAATTAAAGACACCTATGAAGTCAAAGCAGCGTCTAGGAAGTTTCTAGGAAGCTTCTATATTAAATATTATACAATTAACTTACTTTTATCTACTTTTACTTACTTCTACCTATTTCTATATGTAATTATTAGCTTACATGATTATGGCCGTGACATTACCCCCCCTTCTAGAGACGAGTTCCACGAGGAGCGGTCATCATATGTTGAGGAAATCTATGATGCGACGAATTATATTCGCCACATACTCTGATCTCTGTTCTCTTCGAAGATGATTGATAGGGCCTCTCAACCATCGGTAGTGTCCCATACCAGGGCGGGAAGACCACCCAGTTATTTGATCATTATTGAGGCCTTCATAACTTCCTTCGAATAGAATATTCGGAACACCATCAGGAGTTGTTCCTACCTCTAGCAAAATCACCAAACATCGGGAGTCCCTTCCCAAATCGTGATACCAAACGCGTTGTATCTCACCATCTGTTCGAGGAAGAACATGTCGTTCTTGAAGATCTTCATCTCGATTGCATCGTCTTGAAGGTTGTGACAATCGTAATGTCTCGTCCGGCAGGTCAGCAAACGAAGGTTCTTGAGTTGAATCCGCTGGTTGTTGGCTCTCCATCTAATTAGCGTCACAAATGTAAAGAAGTTACAAACAAGGATAGGAAATTGAATGTTATCTTGCCTCAATCTTGTCTCTTTTATAAGAGAGATTTTCATCTTGGTTTTGATGGATGTCGTTGATGAAAAACTTTGACTTTAGCTGATGCATTTGCTAGATTCCTAGATGGCTCCCATGTGCGTTCACTAATATCATATCCGCGCCAATGAACAAGATATTCCAGCTTATTTCGGCGCCGCCTTGAGTCTAATATCTCTTCCACCTCAAATTCTTCATTATTATTTACTTCTATAGGAGGCGGTGGCATTTGTCTTCTTCCTTGTATATCCACTGTCTTATATGGTTCAAGAAGAGATACGTGGAATACAGGATGGATCTTCATTGACTCCGGTAGATGTAACCGATATGCAACTGGGTTGATCTGTTCAGAAACAGAAAAAGGGCCAAGCCTACGATAGTCCAACTTGTCACAAGGTCGAGTAGTCTTGATATTGCGACGAAGTAGCCATACCTTATCACCCACGTTGATTTGTGGTTGCTCCTTACGATATAGATCTGCGTTTATCTTTTGTCGTTCTTGAGCTTCCTTCAATTGTGTCTTCATTATTGCATGTAACTCTAACAACCGATTTGCCATATCTTCTGCTGCAGGATTATCAACTTTTGAAAAATCAAAAGTATCAAGTCGTGGATGATAGCCATAATTGGCAAAGAAAGGTGTTTGTTGCGTGGAAGAATGTACCGTATTATTATAAGCAAACTCTGCCAATGGCAGAAGGGTTGTCCAATCATCTTGTTGGTAGTTGATAGTACACCTTAAATATTGCTCCAAGACTTGGTTTACGCGCTCTGTTTGTCCATCAGTTTGAGGATGGAAAGCCGAAGATAGCTTTATGTCCACTTTTAAAATCTTGAAAAGGGTCCTCCAAAATCTTGACACAAATTGAGTTCCCCTATCCGATATGATATCTTTAGGTAATCCATGATAGCGATAGATATTATCAATGAAAAGCTTAGCTGTTTCTTCACCTGTGATAGATTTTGTACATGGCACAAAATGTGCCATCTTGGTGAAACGATCTACTATCACAAATATAGAATCATAAGATCTTGAGCTTGGAAGATCTGTGATGAAATCCATAGAAACAGAAGACCATGGTTGTTCTGGTAAAGGTAATGGCTGAAGAAGTCCGTAAGGTCGATGACGAGGAATTTTTGATCTTGAACAAATATCACATGATTGTACAAAGTCTTTGACTGACTTCCACATTTGTGGCCACCAA